AAAAAAACAAAAAAAAAAACAAAAAAAAGTAGCTAACTATTATGTCGTGCTTCTACTCACAAGCAATAAGGCTTAAAATGTTAATAATCACCAGTAAGGAAATTAACTAATTTGTTAAGGCTATTTTGCTAAATCATTTCCATTGATATTTTCAAGAAAACAACTTATAAACTGAGTTTTCCTTCTATACACTCAAATGGCAGAATTTTGTGGTGCCTTTCAATTGTCACTACAAAACATCAATAACAGAGATTTTACAAGATAATAATTGCTGATAATTGACAAGCAGGCAAATATAAAGGATGAACATAAGCTGAATAAGGGCAATGTGGTAAGCGTATCGCACACGTCAAAACACACTCCCCAAGTCTAAGATAATCAATCACAGATATATTTGTGTCAGAAAACAACGGGCCATTTTGAAATAAAAAATGGCCACATTTCATATATTTTATATGGAGCTAAACATGAAATTCAGTACCTAATTAAACTAATGGGGTATGAGGGGCAAGGTTTTCTACTTTGTGAAAAGGACATAGAGTTGGTTACGGCAAAAAAGCATCTTTGGAAGCAGTCTTCAATGTCTCCCATGCACAAAAAGTTGTATGTTATATCTTAGACCAGTATCTTGTATTAACCTTTAAATACGAAGTCTTACTAGATTGGGTAAATGCATTTAGGGACAACCGAAATAAAATGGTTGAGAACTAAAACAAGAGATGTTTTTTTTTTTTTTTTCCTTTTATTTTCCCTAGTACAGACAAATTGGAATTTCAGTGAATTTAAAAGCACTTTCCAGTGCCAAGGTGCAACTGAGGAATAGCATGATTCGCCAAATAAGATCGAGAAAGGAATGCACTGATTAAATGCACCAATATGTGGAGTCCTACTCCTAGTTAACCAAACCGGAGTTGACTACTGCCATCTGTTACGAGGAAAAAACAAGCTGCTTTATACAAAAAAGTATAACCTCAACAGAAACAAGGGATTTGGGCCTATTGAAATAGAATGTCACCTTTTAAGGGAGCCAATTATAACAATTTTCTTAGAATTAATTCCAACTTTCGTTTTCACTGGACGACAATATTTTTCATGCATGAAACCCCACTAATAAAAGAAGACCATGTTGAAAATAATTTGTTTCCATAGAGAAAGGGACAAAAGCATCTAAAAAATGACGAACGGCTACAACAGAATACGACCAATGAGAACAAAGAGATATTACCTAGATTTTTATTTATGAAGCTCAATATTTCTACAACAGTAAATGAATGATCTATATAATCAAACTGATGAAAACTTTACTGTCTGATTTTAATAGCTAATCCCGCTGAAGTCACAATTATTGAACTGCGGTGTGAGGAACTATTAATAGTCACACATATATCTTCCCATGGACCATGAGCTTAATTAGCAACAGACCAGATATAACGGCCCACCGTACAATGAGGCTATTATGATCCAAACATATCAAACCATAAACAGATATGGCAAAACACTAAATCACAACATACCATTTTGTTTTGGGAGATACATCAAACTTCAAGAGACCACATTCCAAGAAGAGCTAAACAAGAAATCCAACCAAAAAAACCTATCCAAAAACTCTTGCCTGGAAGATTAGACTAGATCCTTTCAATAATATTTTCAAAGCACAAATCTACAAGTTCTTCGATCGTGTATTGCATAATTTCACATTCCATGGCATATAGCAGGAGCAAATTAGCCGTAGACACAAAATGCCAACATAAAACTTAAAGAAATCAACTCCCCACAAAATGATTCCAATATATATCAAAGATTTAAAAATTGTAACCAAGAAACACAGACACGCGCACATAGACAACATTGTATATAAGTATTCAATGCCAACATAAGAAAAACTAACCAAAATCATCACCAATCAACATAAGATCACAGAGTAACTCCAACCTGAAGAAAAAGATCAAGAAAATGGTAAAAAAGGATACCTAGCACTAGGGGCCCTCCTTGGTACCTCAGGCTCGAACTCAACAGGCAAACCCAAGAACCCATCAAACCTATCAAATGTGACATGATTAACATGCTGGACGTCAGTAGGCCAACCAATCTCCATAGCCCCA